TTCTTTGATTGCTGGTTGAAGAATATCCCGAAATGATGGTGGTAACAGACTGTGTTCGAATGTTTGTTCATGATAAACACTTGTTTGAAGAAGTCCATTATTATTAGTTATTAGAATATCACGAAAATGAATAGTTGCTCCAATATCAGTAATATTCCATATAGGTTGTGAAAATTGTGAATTAGCCATAGTTAGTAATGTACGAAGTTCATCTTCAGATCTGTTCCATGTAATAAATGCTTCATCTCGATATCTATATTAGTGAATAGAAATAGTATATGATTTTATATTTAGAACAGAGGATAAATACCTGAAAAAGAGTTCATGCTTATTAATAAGATCTTGTAATAAATTTTGTTGCCAATAAAATAAATAGATATAGGCTAATGGAATAGTTAATGATGAACCAGAAGCACCACCAGCAGTTTGTCGATATAATTTATAATTGTAAATAAAATATTGTTCATCGAGTACGAGACGAACAAGTTGAAAAATTGTACTAATTGTCATACCTTGAATTAAATGATCTGATGTGATGTAAGAATTGAAGAAATGTTCTAAAGCATCCATAACTTGTTGATGTGAAAAATTTAAACATAAATCATTAATATTAAATGAAGCAAATAAGGTAGTTGGTCGAAGTTGACCACTTTTCTGATAGAATTCCATAGCATGTATAATATTATAAGCTTTATGAAATTTTTTACAATAAGTTGCATCATTGAAAAGTAATCCAAGAAGACGACCAAGATAACGACTAATACTTATAGTTGGTCCATTATTACATACCATGGTTGGTTGAACTGGAATTCCTTCCTATATATATATGGTTATATGACAAGATAAAATAGAGGATAAACATTCATAAGAAAGATATACATACTTTATGTGTGTCTGATACGAAGTTTAAATAATGCATTCGTACTGTAGATCGATCGATTTTCATAGTCATATGTTGTGCTTCAGTAATAGATTTGGAATGTAATAAATTGTTCAATGTTGTTTCAACTCGTTCAACAATTTTAGCTAAACGATTTTGACTAGCAGTCGGATATGAACGACTGAGTCTAAAAACGAATGAATAGCTACTGGTCTGATTCATAAATTCATTGACTTTATCATAAAAAGTGTGGCTTGACTCCACATGATATCCAATATCTTTATAAATTGGTCGTAAAATAAGATTTTCATTTCTTAATTGTTGTCGAATTTGTTGAATTTTCGCTTGGTAATAACATGCTTGTCGACGTTCGAATCGAGTCATAGATTGTAAACGGTCATCATGAGTGAGATAAGAGCTATCACTCCAATCAATATTCTTGTCACTTGATGTTTCTTTATGATGGTAAGTTATTTCTTTGTCATCGTCATTATCATTATCATTATCACTATCATCAGATGAAGACCAATCATTTTCGTTGATACTATTGTCCTTGTATGGAAATTCAGTTGTCCCATAATGCCTTTCTTTTTCTAATTCGTCATCAGATGAGATGTTATTTGTTTCGGTTGTGTCATTGATTTGATAAGCCATTTAAGATAAATGAAGGTATATATTGTTTACTTTAATATCGAAAATATAAATAATAAATCTAAAACAAAAAAAGAAAAAGACAGTGAGATTCTATATATTACAGGAGATCAATTCGTCTAACACAAAAACAAATTTATTTTATTTAAAGTAACACTTATCATTACTCAAGAAAAAGACAATTTAGTAAATTTTTTTTTTATTTTTTAATGTATATAGTCTATGTACAGGTTTATATAGGGGTAGAGTATTCTGTTATATAAACAACGGGATTTTTATGGAGTTGAGTTATTTTGCATATTGAGTTGAATATCAGTCTGTGTAAGAGTAGTTTGGTTGCATATGTTTGCGACTTTTCCTCGTAGATCATAGTCACGACGTTGTTTCATATTTTGTTCACGTTGGCTGATGAGGTTAATGGTTTGATCGAGCAGTTGAACATTTTTATGATGAAATCTGGTAGATTGTAACTTATTTTTTTCATTGTTTATTATTTTGCTGTAGTATTGTACCATTTGTTCGGCTTTAGCTATTGTTTGTTCAGCGATATGTTCGGCAGATGATGTTTGACCTTGAAAGAATAGTGATATAAAGATATGATTTATTTTTGGTAATTGAACATCTTCAAATGTATATGATGATATTTGTGCGTGAACTTCGAGCCATTTCTTAAATATAACAATTTCATCGATTATGTTATGTTGTTCATTGATAGCTTTCCAGATAATTTTTGCTGAGTTGATCTAAATATTAGTACATTTTGCAAATTTATGTAAGCTTTCTGTATACCTACCTCTGTTTGTCTTGGCTTCAATTGGTAAAATTGTTCAACAAGTTTGTGTTCTTCAGCATCTAGTCGGAGCATCGTTTTTCTTCGGTCAAGTTCAAATCGTAATTCATATTGATCTTTATTGATTAAATTATTTATCATAGTTGTAATAGTTTGCATATCAATAATGAGTGGTGCTTGTTTCATACATTGATTAATAGTCTCTTGATTTTTTTCACATTGTAGCTTATATTTTGCAAGACGTTGTTTGATTAAGTTTTTGGATCGACCATATGTATAACACATTGAATTGGCTTCGGCCATTTTTTTCGATACTCGGTTGGTCCAAATACCTTCGGTCATGCCAAGATTATTGTAAAAAGTCCATTGTTCAAGTTGTAATTGAGAATAATTAAATTTATTGATCAATTGTGTAAGTTCACGAATAAATAATAATATTTCTGTCTGGTTTAATAATTCAATAAGTGCATCAGTACTCATATTATTTGTTGTTGACTGTAAAAACAAATCTTTAAATTTACTGTCTGATATTGTTAAATAATCAGGTAATAATAATGTTGGATCAGAACTTGTTGTCATATCCATAGGATTTAATATTTTTTTCTTTGGTAATACTTGTGATGTTGATACATTTTGAAAATATTCACTAGAATCCATAGTTGCTAATTGAAATTGCAATTTGCTAGACACCTGTTTCTTTTTTATTCGTAATTGACGATTTTTCTTTTTCTTATTTTGACCTTTACGATTTTGCTGACTTTGATTGAATTTATTTTTCATTTTTGCTTGCTGATACTTGTGTTGAAGTTTAATAATTTTTCGAACTGAACTGGTTACAGTTAAATATCTGAAATGAGAAAAAAATCTAATATAGAATTTTTTTCCTAACATAACAAAAGTGTGCAAGGAAAAAAGACAGAGAATATATAATGTAATTTATTTTTAAAGGAAAACAAAAAGAAAAGTAATGTGTTATTTTTTAATGTGTGTATAATGTTCACGAGATATTCACGCCATTACCATTTACTTCATTTGGTTTTCGTTCTAAGAGAAAAAAAAATAATTATTTTCAATAGAAAAAAAAAACCATTGCTTGTAGCTTACTCTTTGCTAATGGATCTTTTAATACTGATGAAGATGGTCGTTTACGTGAAAGTTCAAATTCAATATTTGGATTATTTCGACAACCAACAACTAATCTTATGTCTCCGTGACTGGTATTTTTGAAGTGACTATCATGTATCATATGTATTTCACGAGCTAAACCTTTCAGTCGACCCTCATGTTTTACATGTAAAAAGATGTTATTTTTGAACTTTTCATTGTTTCGTTGAATAGTTGCTTCCATTGTATTTGTATTTGGTTGTGTAACATTTTGTGTATGTTGTGTAAGCTGTACGGTAGCTGCACTTATGACCAGTTGTGTTTGCTTCGCTGTTGGTTGATTTAAGAGTTTTTGACGTAATGCAAGGAATTGACTTTCATCGGTAATCATTGGTAAAATTGACGAAGAAGTTGAAGTTATATAATCAGCAAAGAATTTTTCAAATTCTTGGTTTATATAATTGGATGGATATCTAAACAAAAAAAAAAGGCGATGATCATTGAGTGATGTAATAGATAGAAACAAAACAAGTAGATGATTTACCTGTTATATAAGAACATTAAACGAATGGCACGACGTTCATTATCAAATATTTCAAATGTTGATGAATATCGTACAGCTCGAGTGAGAGCAGTTTGAATGACATTTCGAAAGACATGTCGTGGATGATCTGATAAAAATGATAACACAGTTGGTTCAGCTGAAGGTTTATGATAGAGCGATGATGCGAAAATACCATTGTTGTTTTGAATAAGAACATCAAGGAATGGAACACTTTTTCCAATCTTATATTCTAATTTAATATTTGGATGAAAATTATTAGCTGTTTCTAATAATTCTTTCACCTTTTCTTCACATTGGTTCGATGTAAAGAAAACATCATCAATATATCTATAATCGAAAACAAAACAATCTTAAAAATTAAATTTCTATGGATACTAAAACAAATTACATACCGGCCATATAATTCATGTGAAGATAATTTTGGTAAAATAGTTTGTCTTTCCCATTTCCACATGAAGATATTTGCTAATGTTAAAGTAAATGCCGATCCCATAGCACCACCAATAATTTGTCGATAAAATTTGTTATTATAAACAAAAGCGTTTGCTTGAAGCACAATACGAGCTAATTCGATAATAGTATCAATTGAAAGACCATTAATTCTTTCACAATTATGTGTATGAAGAAATTCAGTAAGTATAGCTAAAGATTCTTCTTGTGGTAACATTGTATAAAGATTTGTAATATCGAATGTAATAAAAAGAGTCGATGAATTAAAATAACCTTTTTGAATATATTTTTGAAGTTGTTCAAGAAGATCAGCACCATCTACAAACGTTGTTTGACGTACAAATCGATCAAATAATGGTCGAAGTAATTTATCTAAGAATTGAGAAATTTGTTTTGATGCTGCATGAATTGTATTTAAAATCGGCCGTAGTGGTGTACCTTTCTATAAAATAATCGAATTTTTATTAATAAATATAATGTGGCGAAAAAAAAATTGTATAAAATGTTGGTTACCTTATGTGGTTTAGGAATAAAATACATATAAGCTAATTCAGTCTTCTCGCGAATAGGCATCATTTTGATTCGTTGGCATTCATATATTCGCTTGAATGACTTTAAATGATTAAGTAAACGTGTCACAGTACAAATGATGTCATTGAATGGATTAGAAGTTAATTCTTCATAAGCACCTGTTGTTCGTCGATATTCAATTGCTTTTCGTTCATAATCAGCAGCAGAACCAATATGTAATACACCACTTTTGTCTGTTTCACGCAATATAAGATTTAATTTTTTTAATTTTTTTCGAATTGATTGAACCATTTTTAATTCACGTAGAGCACGTATTTGATCGATTAATGGTATAGGAGTCATATAAGCTTGATTTAAACAGGATTGAACTTGATCAGAATAGGATGTATATAAGCGTGAGTTGAGTGGTATTTTTGGTTGATGATCACCACCGGACATACATTTCTTCAGTTTTTTCATTATATCTTGAAGCTCTCTGTCAATTCGTTTTTTAAATGTTTTTTCTGGAAAAAATACACTTGGATTTGGTCGTATATAAGATGGTCCTAATAAAAAGAAACAATAAATGTATATGAATATAATATAATTTAAAAAAAAAAAGTCTCACCTCTTGAAAGATAATCAAGTTGAGCAGCCGTAAATGGATGATACAAAAGGTCGACAATGACAGTCGGCTTTATAGTAACCATTTTTTTGCTCGGCTTTAAGCGTCGCTGGACACATAACATTTGTTTTCGATAAAGAGGAATTTTTTCATAAGCTGTCTCTTCTTT